GGAGAGATGCCAGGCGCCCAGGGCGGGGAAGCGCGGAAGGAGCAATTTCAAGGAAAGACCCCATTCCCCCGCCACTGACCCACTGCCGCCCCCTCCAGTGTTTAGGTAAGGAGTGTGATGAAAACAGTGAATGCTACTTAGTTATTATGTGTAAAGCTCTATTATTACGTGAGAAGCTATATTAGTTATATATGTGAGTATATCATTACCAATCTTACGTAATAATTAGAATTAACATTACATCATTAATACAATTATTTATGATTAATGCCATATATATTTGAATGAGAATATAAATTCCTCTCTGTAAGCCACCTAGGATGACAGAGTAGCCATTAGTGAAAATGTCCTGAAATTGAAGTGTAAGTTTTGCGGCCGAGATTCTCATCCAGGAAAATAGTCATTGTAGTTTTAAATAAGAGCCATTTGCCAGGGCAAGTCTCCCCCCGTGCAGAGAAGGTGGATGGTGAAGCCCCAAGAGACAGAGCGGGGCATGAGGCCTTGCTCGGACGGGAGGGCCGACGGCTGGGGTCACGCGCACGTCAAGGAGGCCGCCGCGAAGCGGGGCAGCACAGGGATCTGGGAAGCCCTCCCCCGCCTTCCAATTATCCGCTGAACTTGTTTTGCCACCGAACAGCTCAGTGGCTGCTCCTCTCGCGAGTGGCTCTGAGCCCGTGTGCACGCCTCCCTGCGCCTTCCCGTTTGCTGTGTTTCTGCTCTAAGGAGCGTCAGGAAGAAGTAACTATCAAGTCAAGTAGAGAAACTGTTTTTCAAACTGCAGGAAGTGGGTCAGAACTGGCCTTTTGAAAAAATAAACTAGAAATAGAAGTATCAGAGTAAATTATACAAAGTAAGGGCAGGTGTTTTTGGGTAGAACTTTGTTTGCTTCCGTGCCTGCGTGTCACCGGGTTACGAGAGGAATAGCATTTCTTCCTGGGCATTGCAGGTTTTAAAACCTGAAATGCGCTGGCCCTGAGAGCCCGGCGTGACTCTCTCAACAGTCAGCTCCGCCTGTGGTTGGTACGGAGCAGCTACACGGAGCCGCACAGGAAATTGTGAGCAGAATTTCGCGGTTTGACACAAAACCAGCGTGCCCGGACGTCTCTGGGAACTGGTCCCAGCAGAAACCTGGCGGAGAAGGGCCGCTGGTGTCCGGGTCCGTGGTGACCGTTCTCAGGATGCTGGGTCACGCCTGGGGGACCCCTGTTCTCACGCTCATCGAGAGCAGAAACCTTTCCGCACAAAGGATGTATATGACCTTGTGTAATTTGACGCTTATTAAAGGGAAATTGCCTCTTCCTGTGGTCATTTCTAGAATGACAGGGGATTCGAGGGTGCCCGTGTGGGCTTGTTTCTTCAGACAGAACTGCTGGGAGCCCCAGGAGAATGCAGGCAGTATGGTCCAAAACAGCCGGTAGGTGCCTGGAGGCCAAGTGGTCCGATCTGGCTGTGGCTCCACTGGACCTGCTGGCGCTGGGGCAAGCTGGGCCCCTGCCTGCGCCCTCCCTGCAGCCACACTCTCAGCCGGCTGCCACCGTCCTCCAAACCCCGCCAGGGCCGGGCTCCTACTGTCCACACACATGGCTTATGCAAGTGCCTCTCCACCCAAGTAGGAACTCGTCCCTTGTTCCTTACATCCACTCAAGAGCCAAGTCTGACCCACGTCAGCTCCCGGGGACCCTCGCATCTGTCATGGCCTTTCTGCTCCTAAAGAGCAGTCTGCATGAAGTCCAGCTCCGGGTACAACACCCTCCTCAAAGCCTGCAGCGGCTCCCCTCCGCCTGCCACACCAGACATGGCCTTTGGCGGGCCTACAAAGCCCTGAACAGGCTGGTGCCGGGGTGCGGTTCTGGCTCAGTGCCCCCCGCCTCACGGGCAGCAATCTGCTCCACCTTCAGACTGGGCTCCTGTCCTGAGAACACACGCAGACTGGCCTCTGCCTCTCTCTCCCTCTGTAAACACTGATTTCTCTTCTCTGAGATCCTGTCCTTCCTCCAAGTCCGGCCCTGCCTCCACAAATCCCCTCTCCTCTCTGCTGTGCACCCTCTTTCCCGGGGGGGCTCTGTCTCCGGACACATGCAGCCCTCAGTTCCTGGCTGGGGGGCGCTCACCTTCAGCGTGGGCTCGGGAGGCAGCAGGCTTGCCTCACACACGTTTTGGTCCCACCATGGGGCCTGGCGCTGTGCTGGCCCATGGTAGCTGCTGGATGTGTGCTGGCTGACCTGAGACGCCTGTGCCGTCTGCTCGGCAGCCCGGACGCAGTGCCGGAGGTGGGCAGCGGGTGGGGAGCTGAGGGGCGGGCAGGCAGGTGGGCGTGCGCTCAGCTCACCTCACGGGCTGGCTGGGGTGGTGGGCCTTGCTGTGCTGGCTCAGCATCACCTGGGACTGGTCCTGCAAGGCCTCCACGTGCTCGGGGTCCTTCAGGCCCCGCGTTTCTGGGGAAAAGCGGCCGCAGTGAGCCTCTCCCCGGCCCCTCTGCCCACTCCCAGCCAGCCAGGGCCTCAGGAGGGCTGAGCCCTGCCCTGCAGCCCTCCCTGCTGCCCCAGGAAGGAGCCTGCACGCGTCTGGGTCTGCGTGGGGCGATGCGGGGAAAGCGAGAGGTGCAGGGAAGTCACGAGAGTTCCCCCTCCTTATCCCCAGCCCCTGTCCTCCAAGACTGGGGCGAGGACGCAGCTACCTGGTTTGAAGAGGACCAGGGCCTTCATGCACGCGAACTCCGTGGGGTCCACCGCCAGTGCCCGGAACCGCGAGATGGTCTCCTGTAGGATTCGAGTCTCTGCACTGGCCAGCGCCAGGCGGCCCTGGGAGCTGCCAGCAGCAGAGGCCTCGGGCGGGACCAGCAGTGGGCAGCTGTTCAGGGGCAGAGACCACTGTATGGCCCCCAGGAGGAAGAGCTCACTCCACGCCTCTTCCAGCAGGATCACCTGTGCCCAGAGAGGGAGGAGTGTGATGGCTGATCCACGGCTCCCTGGCTCCACCTGGAACCTCCACCCCCTTCTCGGGTGCCCTGGGAAAGGAAGGGCTAGTCCTGGGTGCCCAGACCACTCTGCCCTCTGCCTGACATCCACCAGGCACTCAGAGCTCTGGGATTTGGCACCATCTGGCCCAGCTGCCGAGGCACCAAGACACTCTGAGGGCTCCATCCAGAGCCTCGGGGGGAACATTTAGGAAAGCCCAGAGCCGTGGGAAGTTGGGCAGCCTCAGGGACATCGCCAACAGCGTCCTAAGTCGAGTGCACTCAGCAGACAGCTTCTGAGCTGCTCCATCCAAGCCCCTGGCTAAGGGCTCAGCCCCTCAGCGCGTCTCTTCTCCTGGAGTTCTCATGGCAGGTCCCCTTACTCACGAGAAGCCCAGGGTGGGGGAGTGTCCTAGAGGTGAGGAGGCTGGGGTGAAACTCAAGCCCCGAAGTAAGAGGCTTTTGTGTTCCTAGGGAGCCGAGTCATCACCTGTGCTGTTTAGGGTGTGCAGACCACCCTGTGACGGACGGAGCATCTGAAGGGCCTGAGGGTTTGTCTAGGAGGAAAGAAGACCCAGGGGGCCGCAGGCATTGCCTTCAGACCCCTGGTCCCTCTGTGTGCCTGGCCACATCGTCCCCGAGGTGCATACCTCGATCACCACCACTGCCCAGAGACGTGAGCATCCCCAACAGCCACATCCCTGAGACTTGTGCCCCTGACCACCACAGACTCCGAGGCACGGACACCCCCAACCGCCCCCGCCCCCAGCCCAGCGGACTCTCGGGGGCCCTCTGGCGGGTGTACCTGGTCCCGGAAGGGCAGGTTGGAGAACACCGGCAGGTTCTTGGCCCACTTGACAGCCATGAAGAGCAGGCGAGCCGATGTCTCGTGGATGCTGTCCAGGCCACAGGGGGAGGAGGCGGAGTGTGGGGACGAGGGGAACTCGGGGTCATTGCTGGTGACATCGACATTCTCATCCGCTGTTGGAGGAGGAGGTTATGCATCGGCCCCGGCTCCGCGGCCGGCGGCAGGGGGCGCTCAGGGGCCCGGGTGTGGGGATAAGGGTCGTCCAGGAGCTCCCACTTACCATCCTCGGGCTCCAGCTTAGCGCAGGTTTCCGCCGTTATAAGGCTGGCCATGAAGTGGTGGTGCCCTGGAGGTGTGAGGGCCCGGGGCCCCAGGGCTCTGGCTGCAGACACAGGCGTGGGGCCCCGGGAGCTGGGCCCTGCCGGCACTGGGGGAGACCCCAGGGGGTCCAGCCGCGGCTCTGGGTCCGACTCCATGCTGTCCTGGCGGACCTGGGTGGTGCTTCGTGGCTGGCGCTCATTCTGCACGGCTGGGGAGGCAGGAGGCGTCAGGACCCCTACAGGCCACGCACCCCCAGCGCCTCGGCCGCACCTCTCTGGGTCGACACCCGACTCACCGTCCTGGTTCATGCCCGCCTGCAGGCACTTCTTCAGCCGGCAGGCCTGGCACTGGTTGCGGTGAGCCTTGTCCACCGGGCACATTCCCGCCCCCACCTGACACCTGCGGGCCAAGGGGAGCCCCAGGGCGTCAGGGTCCTGGCCGGGCCCTGGGCCATGGGTTTGGGGCACGTCTGCCCCAGCCCCGTCTTCCCTGAACGCCCCCATCCCTCCCGGGGACCCGGGGGGCCGGGGCCCCGCCCTCCGCCACCTGTACATGAGCCTCCGCCGCACGCTCCTCTTGAAGAAGCCGCTGCAGCCGTTGCAAGCGTAGATGCCATAGTGCTTCCCGCTGCTGCTGTCGCCACACACGCGGCACTGGAGCGAGGGCCCCGCGCCTGGTGGGCAGGACCAGGCTGGGCCGGGGGCACTGCCTCAGGGGCCCTCCTCCCTCCTTCCCTTCCCATCCTCAGGTCCCATCCACCCGCATTTACAGGCACCCGTGTCCCTCCCATCCGGAGAAGTGTCTCCCTTACCACCCAGACCCTTCTCCTGGCGCCCCCCCAACCACCACGGCCAGTCCTCCACCAGAGCCCATTCTCCGCCGCCACTTCCCCACCCCCCAGGCCCTCTCTGACTGTGGCGTCAGCTCCATTACACACAAGAGCATTCTTGACACCATCACTGGGGACCTCTGCTCCCAAGCCCCAGGTCACTTGTCTCTGCTTTCCTCCCCCATCCGCTCAGCTGTCCTGTTTCTAGGATTCCGGGTTTGCCAGCAGGTTCCCTCACCCTTGCCCACAGCCCTTGGGGCTTGCTCCTGAGTCACGCTGGCTCCTTTCATGGTCCCTGCAAATCTCTGCCCGTAATCTGCTCCCCAGGGACACAGACCCTGCCTCCTGGAAAGCCATACCTGTTGGCTCCTCCCCCAGGCCCCACCTGCCTGGAGACTCCTTCCTGGAGGCAGCCACAGCTGCCGGCACAGCTGCAGCCATGTTGGAGCTCATGGATGCTGTCAGCCTAGTCCCGGCCGGTCCCAGGGCAGCCTCTGCCTTCCTGCCTGAGGGAGGCCTCAGGATGGCTGAGCGGGGCCCAGCCTCTGCCTCCCTCCCTGTACCTCTGGCTCTCTGTCTCCTGTCTCTACGTGTCCCTCTGTCTGTCTCTCCTCTCTGTGCTCCCGCTTCCTGTCCCCTCTGTCTGAACTCAGGAGCGGCCCCAACTTCCCCTCACAGCAGCGGCTCTGGCTCGAGGAGATTTCTCCCAGGGCAGCGCTGGACGCAGCTTATGATCCTCTTAATCTTTACTGTCTCCACAGGGGATCAACCGGCCACACCTGCAGCATTATCAAGGTGCCCCCGGAGCCGGTCAGTCCGGCCGCCCCTCTCCAGCTCCCAGGCTGCCTGGTGTCCCCGGGTGGCTCCTGTCCTGTGCTCTCACGCTGTTCAAATCATCAAGGAGATGTGGACTCCACTTGCCCCAGGACTGGATGTGTCTGGAGACGAGTGTGTGGCTTGGCGGGGGGTGGGGGGGTGTCCGTGTATGTGTGGCTCTGCACACGGGGTGCTCACTGTGGGGCCTGGGTGGCTCCCGTTCCCCACCCCAGTGCTTCTCACTCAGTCCCTTGATTAGGGGACGCGTAGGGCCCAGGATTTGAGGGTCTGAGCACTCTTGGACAGCTAGTAGCCCCCAGACACCCAGCACAGAGGCAGCTCCCATCATACATGGAAATGAGTCCAATGCACGGTCTGAGGCTGGCCTGCAGGCAGGGCGGCTGGGGCCCCATGTGGAGGGTCTCTTTTGGACTGGAGGCGGTGAGGACACAGCCCCTGAGTCTGACTACGGGCTCTCAGGTGGCCTCCCCACCGTTCCCTGACTTGGTCTCACCGTCCTAGCCAGGCCGGTCCCTCAGCTGTCCCCAGACCTGGTCTTCCCAGCTTGAGCCCAGTGATGGTTCTGAGGGGAGGAGGTGGAAAGAGGTGTCCGCCCCTCCCTGGACCGGGCACCAGGCCTCAAACAGAGCTGAGACAGACCCAAGTTCAAATCCCCGCTTCCTCACAGTTGGCCCTGCATCCCTGAGCAAGTGACTTAACCTGTCTGAGCCTCAGTCCCCTCGTCTCACAAAGGGGTGAGGGAAGTTCCCGCGTGGCGCTGTAACCGGGGAAGCTAAGCTGATTCTCTGTGTCCAGTGCGTGGCACACAGCAGGAGCGAGACCAGTGACGGGATCTGTTACCATGATTACTTCTCAGGGTTACTGAGACAAGCCCAGAGCAATCCACAGTAAACGGCCTTTTCTTCTGCTCCCCCCACCTCACCCCCACTCACACCCCACGCCAGGCCAGAGAAGAAAGCCCCATGTTGGTCTGGAGGGAACCACCCTTCCTCAGCAGACCTGGGCTCACCCAGGCAGGAGCTGGCCCAGCTTGAGAGCCTGAGGGCTCAGGGCGGACAGTGTGAAGCTTCCGGAAGGATCACGGAGTTATGGGGACAGAGGGGGTGGGGCAAGTGGGGTTAACCCTCGCTGTGACAGGGAAGCAGTATTGGGGATTTGGAAAGTCAGCTTGAGGGGCTTTGCAGGGTAATCCGCTTTCTGGGGCCTCAGAAGATCGAGGCCACGGGGCTGAGGCCCCTCACCTGGCCTCCTCTGCCCCCATCCTCGCCCTCACCCGTCTCCTGACCAGCAGCCCCTCAGGGCCCTCCACTGCAAGGTCTCCGGCTGCACCCGACCTCCAAAGCCAAGGGCATCTCCCGTGAACTTGACTGACAGTTCCCTCCTTCCCAAGTAGCACCTCTCCCTCTTCTTCTGGAGGACCCCTTCCCCACCTTCCTCTCCCTCTGGACTTGTCGACAGCTCCGGTGCCCCAGCGGACATCTCCGCCCCCACTCCCCCGGCAGCCTCCCGCCCTGGGAGCCAGCTGCTCGGAAGGAGGGGGACAGCAGACCACCCTGGCTGGGAGGGAGGCCCTGGAGGCTGAGCACTGGGCTAGGAGACTGGCCAAGGGGTTTGTAGGAAGGGTGACCAGGAAAGATTTATTTTTTCCTGTCAAGGGAGATATTTACAGAAAAATATTTGAGAACAGGAATTCCTTTTACAATGAGAGACAGAGAAGAAAGAGGCAGGGAGAGAGAGTGAAGCTGGAAGTGGGGTGTAAATCAAGGTAGGGTGCAGGACACAAGTAGAGGGGCGGCTCTAGCCTGGAGAGGGGTTGCCTGGAAGGACTCAGAGAACCCAGGGCTTCGGGCAGGCTTGTGTTCAGATCCTGGTTTTACAACTTCCTGGCTGTGTGAGCTTGGACAAGTTACTCTGCCTCTCTGTTTCAGCCCCACCATCTCTGAACTGGGGAGGCTAGTGCTCCTGGCGGTTGTGGCGGGATTAGAGGAGGTGACACTACAGGGGCTGGCCCGGTCCAAGGTGAGAGGGAGGAGGCAGGTGGAAGGGAGCCGGGGGGGGGGTGGGCAGAGGCTGGGATGAACGCCTTGGAGAGGGTGAGGTGAGGTCTGAAGTAGCCGCCTTGGGACAAGGGGCTCAGGGAGGGACGGTGCAGGGAGCTCTGAGGCCCCGCTGAAGTTAACGACGGTGACAGTCTGGGCAGGTATAGAATTTTCCTTGAAGCCCACAGCAGCCTGGCAGATACTGGGAGAACGTGGACACCAGGACTGCTCCATGGCTGCACTTCCTCTGGGCAAGTGTGTGGGAAGGACCTCGAGGAAGGGGTTGACGGTGGAGGAGTGCAGTCCTGGGGGAGAGCTGAGAAGGGATGCGGAGCGGGAGGAACGCCTTTCCCCTGGGGGGTCTTTTCTCTGCTGCTCTCCATCTGAGCTGCCCTGCCCCTCCTCCCTATCTGCCCAATCTCTCCCATCCTCCAAAGCCTGGTAGGGCTCACCTCCTCCAGGCTGTCTGCCCTGACTCCTCCGTCCACCTTTTCTCTTTCTAGAGGCACCTCCAGAGCTAGATGTTGTCTTTAACATAGGGCCTCACACCAGGTCAGCTTTCTCTCCTCAGTCGATGGAAGGTTCCAGGGACCAGGTTCAGACAGAGTTTTGGGTCAGCTGGGCATGCGGATCACAGGCCTTAATGAACAGAAGTCCATTTTTAACTTGTTTCTATTTTCCTGGTATTCTATAGGGTTTGTATTACTTGCAATGAAAAAAAATTAATCCATCAAAATAGAAGACACCAGCAGTGTTGGCCTGCTTGTTCTCACACTGTGTGTTCTGACTTTATCATGTCAGCCCTTCCATCATTTCGCTCACAGCCGAGCTCCTCTGCTCTCTCTCACCCTGGCCCTGGGTTCTTTGGCAGGTCAGGCCCAGCCAGAGCTGTGACTATGCTGGGGAAAAGGATGACAGCCCAGCAGGGCCAGGGGACAGGGGGGGTTCCCTCCCGATCTGTGACCACCAGCTGCTGGGGCAGACGCCAAAGGATTACTCAGCCCAAAGCCTTGGATCTGCTGACGAAGCTGCCAGAGGCCACCTTATCACTAATACAATTATTCCCCCAGGGGACAGGTCAGCAACTTCCTTCCGACTCCCTGGGAGTCTGGGGGGAGGGGGCTGGGAGGTGGGCCTTCAGAACTCATTTCCCCTTGGACCTTGGGGACCCTGGCAGGTACAGCCACCTGCTGCAGCCTGTCCAGGGCCTGCCATACCCTGTGTCACCAGGTCCCAGGCCTGAGAGATGGCCTGTGCTTGGCCCTCGGGAGGAGGGAGTGGTTCCTGGGCTGACCCAGCTGCTGGTCAGGCTACCCGGCCTGGCCGGCGTGGCTGCCATGCTGGCGGCCTTGGGCTTCTGGTTGGGGGCAAGCCTTGTTCACAGCACGCGGTCCTGGGAACCCGTCTTCTGGGATTTTCTTAAAATTCTCTTTTCTCCCCCATTCCAAGGTTCTCTGAGGAAGGAGAGCTCGCGGTGTGTACGCAGGCCCTGGAGCTCCGGGCCCAGCAAGTCCACTTCCAGGAAATGACTCCACGGAAAATCTCACGAAGATCTAATTAGATGGCTGTTCCCTGCAGCAATTTTAGTAAAACACCCATCTGGAGACAACGGGCCAAATAAAGCATGCTCGTCCCGAGGGTGGAATGCTGTGTGGCTGTTGAAAGTGGTACTGTCCCCAAATCCATTTTCACGGAAGCACGTCCTCCGACTTTCAGCCTCAGTCCAGCTACAGAACAGCAGGTGCAGTTTGATTTAGCGCGTCTCGGGGATTCCCGGCCGAGCGCGCGCCTCCTTTCCCCTCGGTAGGACCGGAGTTGAGCAGTAGTCTCTTTTTCTAGAGATGCGAATAGAAGGTTCAGGACTCCAAGAAGCCGACGCCAGCTGGAAAGTTTCTCAACAAAGCCTCTCTATTTCCTTTTCAAGATGGTATTTAGAAATAATCAGATACTCTGTGCCCTGGTTCCTAGCTCTCGGCTACTGAAGTCTTTCCTTCGAGAATTGTTCTAAAGGTCTGAGCAGAGCAGGGGCGCTCCCGCCCCCGTTGGAGGAGGAGCAGATGGAAGGGAGCCTGTCCAGGACCCGTCCGATCTGCTGCTCCATGTTGGGGGGGTCCCCCTTCCTCTGTGCTGATGACACACCGTGAGCCAGGTCTGTTTTAGCCGCCCCCTCTCCTCCTGGTGCTCAGAGAGCGGGGCGTCTCGGTTCTCTAGGGGAGCTATTCCCAGCGGGAATTCTCACCACCCGCAGAAAATCTTACTGCCTTTGAGTGTTTGAATCTGTGTTACAATTATAATCAGGATAAAACAGAGCCCTTTTCAGGTCTTTAAACAGAGAATGGCTAACTTGAAATAAATACACCCATAATAATCCCGGGAAATATTTATGGAGAACTTGCTCAGTGTTTCTGTGTGGGGATGACAAGCCTCTCGTGCTCTCGGGTTCCCTCCCTCGTGACCTGAGGGCACGCTCGCATCTCTAGCCGCTGCTCAGGCCGTGCCCGGCTGATGGGAACGGCTGCAGCCGTAGGCGTGGGGCCTCGTCCCAAAGGTGCCCCTCCTCTTGGTGAGCCCCCTGTCATCCCCTTAGTGCTAGACCCGGTGGTGGGGTGGGGGTCGGG